TGGGGCAGAAGCGCACAGCATAAAGATGCCATGGGGAGGTGGGGAAGGGCTGAAATCCAAGCCCCGCTCCCTGGAGGAAGGGGCAGGCTTTGCCTAACACACACCAACGTATCCGCAACACCTTTTGAAGGCGCCCCTTCCTGATGCCTGGTGCCTTTGTTGGGAGACAGAAAACCAGGCTGACTCAGTGTGGAGCCAGGTTCCAGGGTCAGCTCAGCTTACTCTGGCTGAGGACTGAGGCAGGTCCCTCCCCAGCTGGGGCAGGTCCTCCCAGCTTCAGCTTCCTCCTCGGCAAAGTCCAAGGGATTGCGCCCCACCTGCTCCTTAAATACAGGCAAAGCACCTAGGACACTGCCTGGCACACAGGGGCCCGCAAAGCCATGGGCTATTGCCTTTAGAGACCTACTATGCGCCAGGCAGCGCGCCAGATGTGCGACGAAGAACGGTGCCACTCTAGCTTCCCAGGGTTTAAAGATTAGCAGGGAGAAACAAGCCAAGGCCACAGGTAAATTCAGAGGGTGACAGAAGTGATGGATGAAAGGAACAAGGTGAGGGAGGGTGACCTCAGGCTGGGGCCAGACCCACACGAGATCCTTGGAAGGGTGGGGCAAGGGAAGGCCTCCCGGAGAGCGGCTGCCTTGGCTCTGAGATGTGGGAGCCGACGGAGGGGTGCAGGACGCAAAGCCAACGGGGCTGCATGGGCAGGTCCCGTGGGAAGGACAAGGTGGCTGAACACAGCCGGAGGAGCAGAATGAACTGAGGAAAGGGCGGGATCAGGCAGGGCCTTGTGGACCACAGTGAAAACTAGCTTTTACTGTGAGATGGGAGCCAGGGGAGGCTTCCGTGCAGAGCGGGGTCGGGGGCTGGTCTAAGTATGAGGCTCCCTCTGGCGGCCGTGGGGGGAACAGACTCTAAAGGGTGCCTGGTGAAGCGCGTCCTAGCCAGGCTTACCAGCTACCGCCTCCTTACAATGGGCTGCAATCCAGCCTGAGGGTTTCCAAGGAGAGGGAAGGTTTGAGCCCTGCAGGCTCTGACCCAGGTAAGCATCAGAATCCCCTGCAGAGATTACTGGAGGAAGACATGGGTCCCCAGATCCCCAGGTCCCCGATAGACCCCACCCAGGGTCACATGTTCTCAGGACCTCCTGAGGCTGTCATGAAAAAAAGTAAAAAACAAAACAAAAAAAGACCCCACCCAAAGAAGTCTAGAGGTTTCCAAAGGTATTCCCAGCTCTTCCAAGAGTTTATCAAAGACTCCAAATTCAAGGTTTTGTTTCCAAGACTCAAGTGCTGGATTCTAAGCATTCCCATGAGGTCATGAAGAGCCAAGCCTGGCTCTGCAGCCTCGGGTCTACACCACCACACAGAGAAGCAGCCTGAAGTCTGGCTCTCAGCTTTTAGGATTCAGAATCTGGTTCTAATATTCTGAATCTCCTTTCCAGGTCATGTCACGTTCTCCCTCTGAGCCTCAGTTTCTTCACCTGTAAATGGGGCTTTTGACTATGCCCACTTGTCGATGGTGGCTGAGGTTTAAATGCATTTGTGATATTGTGCTGGCCTAGAGCCAGAACCGGAGCAAAACTATTTTATAAAATGCAAAACTGTTTTTAGATAAGTTGAAATGGCTGCCCCATTCTCCTTACAATAACTACTGTCCTTGGCCTCTGTGAATAGAACTGCCAGTTTGTTCTTCAAAACTATGTAAAGCTGCTTACCTTTTCTTATCAGTAACTGCCAGAATTGCTAGCCTTTGCTTACCGGCAATTGCCAGACTAAGCAGCCCAAGCTAGTTCCATCCTGGCTCCTGTGACTTGTAATAAGTAACTAAGGTCTGTGATTTCCACCTTAACCAGATAATGTGTAAACAAATGTTTATCTTGACTTCTGTAAACCACTTAAGTAACAAACGGAATGACAAAAGTCCCCTGGCCCTTGGAATGTCCGGAGACCCCCACCCTCATCTCTGCCCAGGAGGTAATTTACAGAATCCACTAGCCCTCGGAATGTCTGAAGCCTTTTCATCCCCATCCCCGCCCCTCACCCCCACTCCCAAGGTGGTTTTTCGGGTATAAAAAATCGTGGCACCCTCCTGTTGCCACCACAGGTTGGAGAGACGTGAGTCCTCTGTGGTCGCCGGCATAATAAATGACCCTGCAATCTGGCATACTTTTGTCTTGTGATAACTTTCTACACTCGGTCAAATACAACACATTCATGCAATAAATGACCAGGGAGAACCAGCCACCCCCCTCCCCTCCACTGCCATGCCAGGCACCAGGAATAAGGCACGGCCATAACCAGCCAGTCCCAGCAGCCAGCATCACCAAGGCCAGATTCTGGGAGCTGGCTTCCTAAGCGGTAGATTCAGGACTCAAGATTCGGAAGTTCCGGCATTCTGTGCATCATTAAGGAAGCTGTGAGCACTAGGGCTGAGCTAGCACATACTGCAGCTCCCAGACACTGATGTTCTAGTTCATTCCCATGTGCCAAGTCAGATGCATTCAATCAGATGTGCTGAATGAATCAGCCTTAAGGATTTTGCCAGGCTTGGAAACCTCCAAGAGGCAGGTGCTGGGGCTCCAGGGTCGGTATCTGGTTGTGACACCAACTTTGTCTCTGATCCTGTCACCCCAGTGGACCCCGAGGGCAGGAAGCAGGCTGGGACGAGGGCAGAGTTCTGAGACAAAGGGGGCTCTGAGGAGCTTGTACAAATCCTGTCGCTAAGTCTCAGCTCTCTCAGCTTAAGATAAGGATGGTAACAGTCCCTGCCTCAGAGGGCAGTCCTGCAAGGATTCAGCAAAACGAGCCTTCCAGAAATCCTCTAGGGAGGCAGGAGGGAGCAAGGTACAAGATCACATGGGTGAGGACCTCGGAGGCCTGGGTGAAAACCCCAGCTGTGCCCCTGATGGGCTGTGACGTGGGGCAGGTGATTCTATCACTCTGATTCTGTCTCTATAAAATGGGGGTGGTGGTGACTTACAGGGTTGCAGTGAGGATGGAAAAAAGGCTGCATGCAGAGCTGTGCTTGGCTCATGCCAGGGGCCCAATAAATGATCACAGTCATTGTTAGCAGTCGTGGAAAACTAAGGGAAGAAAAGGATGCTGGAGAAGTTGTGTGTCCCGGGGCAGTAACAGAGGCAAGGTGAGTGGAGGAAAGGGCAGGAGTCCCTCTCGGGAAGCCCTCCTTCATTCATCAAGCTTCCCACCTCCCCGTGCAGCTTCCTGATTGGAGAAGACGGGCTCGTGTATGAGGGCCGTGGCTGGGGCTTCAAGGGAGACCACTCGAGTCACCTCTGGAACGCCATGTCCATTGGCATCACCTTCATGGGCAACTACATGGGTGAGTAACTGTCCCGCCAGTTAGGATGGGGGCTCACATGCGGCCTGAGGAGGGCGGGGACATGGCAGCCAGTGGCTGACAGGCTCCACCACCTACAAGCTCCATGACCTCAGGCAAGTGACTCAATTTTCTGAGCCTCCTTTCCACCATTGGAAAATGGGAATCATTTCCAACCACAGGGTGGGGGTGAGAATTAGCTGATAAAAAATCCTTCCGCCAGACGGGCGCAGTGGCTCACACCTGTAATCCCAGCACTTTGGGAGGCCAAGGTGGGCGGATCAAGAGGTCAGGAGATTGAGACCATCCTGGCCAATATGGTGAAACCCCATCTCTACTAAAAATACCAAAATTAGCCAGGGTGGTGGGAGGTTCCTGTAGTCCCAGCTACTGAGGAGGCTGAGGCAGGAGAGTTGCTTGAACCCGGGAGGCGGAGGTTGCAGTGAGCCAAGATCACAGCATGGCACTCCAGCCTGGTGACAGACCAAGACTCCGTATTTAAAAAAAATCCTTACGCCAGGCCACAGTCCCTAAGCAGCACTTGATTGATGTTAGCTATTGTTGTGGGTGGGAGCCAGAGGTCTGGCGACAGGGGAATGAGAATATGCAATCGTCACTATGACTGCCAAGGCTTGCTAAGGGCTTCTTCTGTGCCAGGTGCCATTTTGTGGATTTTACATAAAAATAATTCCTCTTACCTCCCACAGCCCTGTGGGTAGGTGCCATTATTCTCTCCTTTCGCGGATGAGGAAACTGAGGCACAGAGAGTGAAGTCCAGCTCAGAGGACACAATCAAACCCACTACCCTACACTACCACTGCCCTTTGGGAAGCCCCACCTCACTCCTGCCTCTGCCTCCCCAGATCGGGTGCCCCCAGCCCGGGCCCTCCGGGCAGCCCAGAGTCTACTGGCCTGCGGTGTGGCTCAGGGAGCCCTGAGCTCCAAATATGAGGTCAAAGGGCACCGGGATGTGCAGCCTACGCTCTCTCCAGGCGACCAGCTCTACAGCATCATCCAGAACTGGCCACACTACCGCGCCTCCTGAGGCCGTGCTGGGCGGCACCCCATTCCTCTCCTCCCACGGCCAAAACCCCACTGCCGCCTCCTTCAATAAAGGTGCAGCTGCAGCTCAAAATGTATTCCTGGGCAGGTCCCGCCACACCTCCCCTTCTTCTCTCCCTCCCACAAGACCCGAGCCCTCCCACCCCCTCCCTCCCAGCACTCTCGTCGCTGGTGCTCCGAACCCAGAGGCCCCGGCCCTGAACCAAGACCCCGGAGATCCCAGCTCGAGAGCAACATCACAGCTCAGAACCCAGAGGTCTCAGGTCAGAGCCCAGGAATCAGCACCACGGCGGCCTGGATGTCACAGAAGCAGCTGGGGGTCCTCCTGGGCAATGAGCCACGCTGCAAGACACCCCCTTCCCACCACACAGCCAAAGACATCCTGCACAGAACCTCTGCTTGGACTCCTTTGGGGACAGGCTACTCACTCCTCCCCCCAGGTCTGCCCTTGCACAGTTTAGAGAGTATGCCGGCTTTTCCTGGGCCTAAGGCCGGATCTGCCTCTGAGGCACAGACACACAGGTCCCAGTTATACCCCGCAATTTCTCTTCCTCTACATTTCTCCCCACTCCACCCTCACCCTTTAGTCATAAGCTGAGGGGTCCCACGGGCAAATATGTTTATTTACAAAATGCACATATCCTCCCTCCCAGCATGTACTGCCTGGGGAGAGATTGGGGTCAGGGCCTCACAAGCCTGAGACCCCAGGGGCACGTGGAGGGGCGGGGCCAGGGCAGGGCCTGGGCGGGGCTGGAGGCCACCCTGGCCGTACCCCCCATGCCATACTCAGTGGTGGGTGGGGGATGAGGGGCAGTACCCCCTCTCCATGTCATGACCGCATGTCCAGTCGGTTCATGTACTCCTGCAAGGCCTTCAGACGTGCATCTATTTCGGCCTGGTGGTCCAAGCTGTACTCTGTGAGAGCAGGTGTGGGTGTGGGGGGGCTCCCCAATATACCACTGCCCCCCTACCATACCAACAGGAGCTGGGACTGGGAGAGGGGATGTGGAGTCCCAGGCTCACCTTTGATGGGGACCCAGCCCCCGGAATTGGCCGGACGTTTCTCATGGTGGCTGCGTTCCACAGGGGTAGACTTCTGGTGATGGGGAAGGTAGGAAAGGGGGTCAGCCACCGTCCCTCTATTCCTGTCCCCCCAAATCCCACTGGAAATCCTGAGCCTAAGGACCTTGGGGAAAAATAAAGCCTGACACCTACTGGGCATTCATTATATGCAAAATAATCTCCTGGCTTGCTCACATAGCCCCGGGAGGTGATGCCATTACCATCCCTAGTGAACGGATAAAAACTAAGGTACAGAGAGGCGAAAGAACTGCCCTGAATGTGGGGCGCGGTGGCTCATGCCTGTAATCCCAGTACTTTGGGAGGCTGAGGCAGGCGGATCACCTGAGGTCGGGAGTTCGATACCAGCCTGACCAACATGGAGAAACCACATCTCTACTAAAAATACAAAATTAAGCCGGGCGCGGTGGCTCAAGCCCCCAGCACTGTGGGAGGCCGAGGCGGGTGGATCACAAGGTCAAGAGATCGAGACCATCCTGGTCAACACGGTGAAACCCCGTCTCTACTAAAAATACAAAAAATTAGCTGGGCATGGTGACGCGTGCCTGTAATCCCAGCTACTCAGGAGGCTGAGGCAGGAGAATTGCCTGAACCCGGGAGGCGGAGGTTGCGGTGAGCCGAGATCGTGCCATTGCACTCCATGCACTCCAGCCTGGGTAACAAGAGCGAAACTCCGTCTCAAAAAAAAAAAAAAAAAAAAAAAAAAAAAATTAATAGGGTGTAGTAGTGTGCGCCTGTAATCCCAGCTACTTGGGAACGGTGAGGCAGGAAAATTGCTTGAACTTGGGAGGCGGAGGCTTCGGTGAGCTGAGATCGCACCATCGCACCACTCCAGACTGGGCAACAAGAGCGTAACTCTGCCTCAAAAAAAAAAAAAAAAAAAATGCCCAGAATCAAACAACTGGTAGGAGGAAGAGCCAGGTTTTAAGACCTGACAATCAGAAGTCAAAGCCCTAAAGAGCATCACGTGCCCCTCATTATTCCTCCTCCAATCCAAAGCTCTCTAAACACGCTGTTCCCAGGCCAGGTGTGGTGGCTCAGCCTGTAACTTCAGCGCTGTGGGAGGCTGAGGATGGCTTGAGGCCAGGAGTTCCAGGCCAGCCTGGGCAACATAAAGAGACAACACTTACTCCCCTTACGCAGTCTCAACCCCACCTCCCCCCAAAAAAAGTCTAGTGCCAGCTACTCCAGAGGCCAAGGTGGGAGGATCCCTTGAGCCCAGGAGTTGAAGGCTGCTATGAATGGCGACTGCCCCACTGCACCCCAGCCTGGAGGACAGAGCGAGACCCTCGCTTAAACAAAAAAGCCCTGTTGCCAAAAGCATTCAGAGTCGCCTCTGCATTTGGTCCCCAGGAAGGAATCACGGCAAATGGGGACAGCTGTGTTCCAGTGGTTTATGTTCCCCCTTCTACTCACCGTATTGGACCCACTCCAGGTCGTTGGGCTGGGAGGCTTGCCACGGCGGCGGAGACCCCTGCGAGAAAGGAGTAATCAAGGACCAGTGTTGGGGAGGCTCTGGAACTTCCCACGTTCCCCACCTTTGTGGTTTCAAGGCTCCCAGCCTCCATCACCCAATTTCCCTGCAAAAGACTGTTTCTAGTCTCCCCAGAAACCCTTTTGAGGTGGTCCTTTCCCCAAGTCCAAGTTTTACCGTCTGGAAAGCGACTCAGAGAAATCCTCCAAATCGCTGCAGGAGCTGACTGACGAGCAGCGGCTGCGGAAACTGTCCACTAGAGGGAGACGGGGGCGTGATTCTCGTGCCCTCGCCCGCCCCGCCCAGTGCCTCCCAGCCCCTCCCAGCCCGTCGGCCCCGCCC